TTAGGTTAGAAGACTGCAAACTGAACAATATTGTACTTTTTTAGGGATACGAAATCGGCGCCTTCAGTTGGAAGCCATATCTCATCTTATAAAACTTCTACCTGTTGTACATAGAGATACATTGTATGTTTTACTAAAGTTTCTTGGAAATGTAGCTGCTCATTGTGATGATATATGCTCCCCTGACGGTACAGTCCAAATGAATGGAAACAAAATGGACAGCAACAACTTATCCACAGTGTTTGCTCCAAACATTTTGCGGGATTATGTGCCAAAAACAGCTGAATATAAAGAGCATGGAAATATGGTAGACGCAATAAATGTGATCAGGTAATATTCTAAGCCACAGAGCGATTCATTGATTACTTGTATTAAATTATTCAATTCATAATTATTATTTATACCCTGAACCAAAGATAATATAAACACTGTGATGAGTAAAGCCCATACATATGAATGCGACGCAAAATTTCTAGCCTGGCTTCTCATCTGGCTTTTCCCACTTTACACGACATGCCAGCCGACTGGCTGTTCGCTCTCCAAAAGCCAAACGAACAAATGCCGAAGTCGCGGCTTGTTAATGCTGACACGAGCAACGAAGTTAGTCGCCAGCCTGCCTTCAGCAAAGTTGGTCGGTTGATGGCGCTCAGCGTCGATTCGTTCGGACCTCATAGAGCCGAAGCTGAGAGTACGTTCAATTTTAAGTTTTTTGCTCTTTCAGTTAAGAGAGCGCAATGATACTGATTTAGTTTTCGTTCTTAATTTTCAAGAAATCAAGCTACATAGTAGAGTATGGGCGTTACTCATCTTATTGTTTTTATTGTCTTTGCCTGAACCCATTTATATCTCTTCCCATATCCATAATATGGATAATTAAAAAATTGGTTATAAGACTTTGACTTTTAAGCACAGCCTCTTGTGTAGTACACACAAATCGAAAACATTTCATTTTTTTTATATGTAAATAATGACACTCGCGACTAAAGTACTCTTATTATTACTCTTAGTACTAGCTGGTATTACCCGGCCTTACACGGCACAAGCTTTTTGCTTTAAATTGTAGACATCAACTCGACATCATTTTCTTGCCCGTGGTACTCTTCGTCCACAGATATATTTCACATTAATATTTGAAAAGGAGTTTGAAGTCGAACAACATCGGACGCCGAACCAAAATAAAATTCAACATTTTCCGCCAATGGGGATAAAGCTTTAAGTTGATCTAATTTTCGTTCATTCAACCTTAGAAACGACAGTTATTTGAAAAGATCTTTGCAAATGTTAAGGGTTGAATGTACGATGATTACAGATTTTATAGATATTCATCATCCAAGAAGGTTGGATTTTGCGTAAAGTGTGAAACACGTTTTAGATAAATTATCACAAGGATCTTTATAAAATGATTTAGAAGCCGTTCTTTGATCCGTATTGAAAAAAAGTGGGAATCACTTTTGAAATGAATTTTCGCTAGATCCTTGGAAATGAATTGGAGCCCGAAACTTCACCCACCAAATCTTTGAACCCGATTTACACTAAGGAACAGTTGATTTTCCGAAAAGTATGAGACATTTCCCTAATAAATTCGAACAAAGATCTTTGAAAACGAGTTTAAGGACCCAGAAACGCAGTCTTAGCGTTTATCAATCAAGATAAAGATAGATCATCATTATTATTATTACTGTGAGCAGAGTATTTGAAATACTTTCACCAAGGGCAAACTATACCTAAGCTTCCTCATTACTAACTTCTTTCTTTTTTTCTTTGTCTATTAATTGAAGTTGGTTTACAGATTTAAAATACCCACTCAAAATTTAAATTGATAATCTTAATATATAATCTTTTTGATTTGCAGAATAATGATTGATCACTATGAAGAGATCTTTAACGTGCCTGTTGAACTTGTAGACGTGCTTTACTCCCATATGTTGGATACATGTCCAGAGCAACTGCACGTCTTAATTACGAAGAAACTAAATCAATCATCAAAGTAAGAATTTATTACTATCCCTATTTAAAGTAGATCTGCTAAGATTTCAGATTTTAAGGATAAGCTGATAGATAGATTAGATCTTTACCCACAATTATCAATTATTTATTGTATCTTTCCAACCGATCCCAACGTATATTGATAAAGATATATATTTTTTTCTAAGTACTCAAGTTGAGGAATCCAAACCAAACGAAAATCAGGTACATTTAAGAGATGGAACGTACGATTCGGCGCTTTTAATTGACGGAAGGCGTCAATCAACGCCTATTTTATTGGAACACCCGAACGTGTTCTCAGCCAGTCTACAGATATCAATGCCGGATGAATCATCTTTACAAGCAACACGGGCAAATCAAATTCAAGGTACTCACATTAAGAACTAACAATAAAAAATACATACATATATATATCTATATATATTTACCTCATTTCTTTAGAGAATAAAGTACAAACTACTAGTATTTCCGAACCAAAGCTACCAACTAGTATATCCAACATTGGCGGAGCAACATTATGTGCAAAGACAGCCGAATTTGAGAAGAACACCTCCAGGAACGTAACCCATGGAACACAAAATCCAACAGCTAAAGCGAAAACTCTCTATAAGCGACAACAATTAATTCCAAGTTCCAGACGATAAGAAGGGGGATCCAAAGAGCCTTCCTAGTCCTAGAGATACTACAACCTGAAGGGCATTCTGCTGGGGGAAATATAGACAGACAGACAGACAGACAGACGGACAACAAGACTGACACTGCGCAAAACCAATATAATATATACATATAATCGTATAGTTGATAAAATCATAAAAATATACTTAATACCAATATATGTGCTACTTATGAGTTAGCCAAAGGTCTCAGCTGCCAGGGTAATAATTTAAATCCTTATAATTTTAGTTGTTAAGCTACTTCTTTGCTTTGTATAAATATAATAACATAAAATGTAAATTCAAGGAATAAATAATCGTGTAAATATATAACAAAAATTACCCGTTCTGCTTAAACAAAATCTGGTTGATTCTCGACCATTCTATTCTATTCTACTACTTTTATGCAACACAGGGCATAGTTTTTAAGTGCAGTGGTGGAAAATATACTATTCTCTTAATTACCAATATTGAGCGTTTTTTTAGTTTTTACGCCGAAAATTGAAAGTTTATCCAATATATAAATGTAAACAAACGAAACTGGAAGACCATACTAAAATCTACTCGTATACCTAGAAAGCCTTGAAAGAATCTTTGAAAGTTCACTTAATGCTGCTTTGGTGGACACTGTGAATACCCCAATAGTCCCTTTACCTTTTGGGTACAATTATATACATATATTGATTAAAGTGGATTGTACGCATGTCAAACGCGTCAGAGATCTGAAAGATATCTGGAAATAATTGTCATTCTTGTAATATTTACATAGTAATACTAAATGTATAATCTAAATATATATTTATGTGTATACATATATAAGTATTTATTATTGTTAGTGGTATTACATAAGACTATAGGAATTATGCTTAATGTAGTGTCTGTATATATTTTAAATTTGGTTTTTTTTCGTTCTCGTAAACTCGTTCATTTACAATCGTTCCCTTAGAATATGCTTGTAATCTATAATGAAGAGGAATACATATTATTATGCAAACAGCTGATTTCTCAAATTATATACTCTAAGCGATTGGAATTGTATAACATTATGTAAGTCGCATAATAATATATATACAACACCATTCGCTGACATTCGCAAATTGTTACCTTTAAAGAACATTTTGGGGTATGGCTAAATTGTTTAAGTTAGTCATCTTGAACTTCGATGTACCAGTATGTATTGGGCTAGGTTTGAAATTTTAAACAACAAATCTTCTGATATGATCAAATACGTAATTATGATTACTGTAGAAGCATTTATAACGCTCGCGACGCTTGTTTGCATTGCCGCCGGTTGCTCGCCTGCAAATAATAAAAATACAACATTTCGAAAATATTAATATATTAAAACCGGGAAAGAAGGGCTATCTTCGGCACGCCGAAGATTTATAACCCTTGCAGACCCAACCTTTTCATAATGCTCATATTGGTTTAATGCCGAGTATGGCTAAGATATCTTAAAAAACAAAATGTTATATGACATAGAGGTCCTTTGTAAATAAGATTTTGCATAAATGTATATAACATAGTGAAACTAATTAATGGCGAGTATGGTAAATTTACGAGTATTTAAAAACAAAAAAGTTTTCCATACTACAACTTAATTTTCGACAGATCGTTCCTATGGCAGCCATATGATATAGTAGTCCGATGTTGATAGGATTTGGCATACATATGAGGAGCATAGTAAAACTTATAACTGCCGAGTTTTGTCAAGATATCTTGATAAGCAAAAAAGTTGTTCATACAAGATCCTACTTTTCGACCGATCGTTCCTATATGATATAGCCGACATATGTACGTCGTGCAACAGAAAGAGGGACGTATGCAAAGTTTCATAAAGATAGCTTTAAAACTAAGAGACAAGTTCGCATAGAAACAGACAGAAGGACAGACGGACATGGCTATATATAAAAAGTGCTCAAGTCGGGAGTACCCGACTAGGAGATACCCTCAACACCGCACCCAGTTATCTCTACAAACAGTTTAGCTGCCTTCGATCTTAACTATAGCTATATATGATTTTCAGAACAGGACTTTCAAAGAGTAAAATAGTTTTTAATCTGTGTATATACATAAATAACACTTAAGTACCTGAACACGAAGATTGGCATAGCTCTTAATTTTGGGGGTTAATTTTAGATGAGGTCTTATAAGTTAGTTTGTTTTCATTTAATGGCAATGACAATTAATTTAGATGATTATATTTTTGATTTTTATTAATTTCAAAGGACAAAAGCTTAAGTCGTCGGTTATTATTGAAACATTTGAGGTCTTCATTTAATTTGCATTCATATTTTTACAATTGCTCCTTCGGATAGGAATAACTGGCCTAGATGAAGGCGACGCAACTCCCTTATTTAGCCAGGGAAATTTATTTTAATAATAGAGGATCATGTTTTTAGGCTCTGCTACAAATGTATCCCATTCCCATTGTATATTACTTGCAGAAAAATATATTTTGCAGTTTCCTTTGAAATATATCTGTGTGATTCCAGGTATAAAAGGACAAGTCCTGTTTCAATATGTAAGGCGTAAGGTTCTATTTTAACGGATCTCCGTTGAGGTGCCAATATTCGTCGTTTGTCCGTTTCCCTCTGCCATATTTCCTTGAGTATGGACAAGTACAAATTGTGTCCACAATTTCTTGAATGATAGACTCCATACATAAGTTTATCTCTCGTTTTATTCCTGACATTTTTGTGAATATACTAGGTCAGCTCAGCTGAGTTAAGGAATCAAAGATTTCAAAAGACAAACGTATACAATTGTCTTCACTCAGACAGGCAGATATAGCTAGATCGACAAAGATAGTCGGCCCGATCAAGGATATATTTATTTACTTCTTTGGGTCGCACACGATTCCTTCTGTCTTCATGATGGGGTTCAGGGTAAGGGAACCACATGAATCACTTACCCGTCAAGACGTGAACACGAACAGAAGCCGGTACGGCTGCGTTGGGTACACATGTGTAATTTCCGGAGTCCCGCAAAGAAGCGCGTGTCAGCATTAGACGACTTGTGGTGCCAGCATCGGTCTTCTCGGTTTCCAAGCTAATGCCGCCTCGAAGTGAATCAAAGTCGACTATCGCTGAGCCGTGGTACCTTCGGTTGTAGATCATAATGTTAGTCATTCCGGGTTAAACCAGATGTTATATAGCATGTTCATTTACCACAATACAGACGATGCGTGTATATTTACGGAGCAGGCCAAAGCAATCGTACTATCTCGCTTTACGTGTATTTCCGTCGATCCCAAAATTTTTGCCCGTGCCGCTTTAATGAGTTAATATTTGATCACGTGAAAAGAATAATATATAAAGTACGGCTTTTAGTTTTGACGTTCTTATTGGAATCAAATCTGTATATGTTTTCTAATGAAGTCAAGTTGGAGGACAAACACAACTATAACTCATAATTCAAATTGATGCTGATAAAGAATACACATATTTGTTTTGGGTATGTCTATAAATTGAATATGTATTAGTTCGGGGAAGCTCCTAATCGATCACAATCAAACTCAAAATCAAAAATTCCTTCTCGAGAGTGACTTTTGGGTGGAAAACAAGGTACAAAGTTGGATAGATCAAGTCCGATAGGCTTGAGGCCAATTAATAGAAAGTAACAGCAATTGACTTCCTTTATAGAGATAGAGTTAAAAATTAAATTTAAATCTGACTAGTTTACCTCTATAATCAGTTTAAAATGTACACATATGACTAATATCAAACCTTTTGAATTATAGTATAGTTTCTCTGAATTCCTGTCTCTCATATCATTTTCAGCTGCAATTATACGGGAAAAATAGCATTATTTAGCATATCATATATAATTTGACAAAACAATGAACAAAACTCTCTTCACAGTGTAATTTTGGATCAAATCTGGCAAACGAGTTTTTATTAACTATTGACAGATTTGATCGAATAACCGCAAAGGCTTTTCTGAAACTGACTGGAAAATGTAATGGACGTAGGAAAATGTAATGACTTATGCCAAGTTACTTATGCAACGAATTTCCGTTATCCACTTTATTTTAAAATGACTTTCTACAGCGACTGCTCTGCCTAATGCCTCGGACACTACTTCCTCTTTAATCCTGCTGCTTTCCTGTTAATAAGCTGTAATTCTGTGGATATATTGCTTCTTTTGCCGAGTACACCCAACCATTCTTACATATATTTTAGGCTTTGAGATTGAAATTTAGTTTTTGCGGACAAATGAACGGGCTCCTTATTACCACTAACCAAACAACATATAGATGGGACATGCAGTATGACAATGAATGTGGCCATTCAAAGTTGCTGACATCTGGTCTAAAGCTCGTCTTCGTTTTTGTTCGGTTTCGAGGCACGCTCACATGCTCAGACAGCAAGAGAGAAATATATGTACATATGATTTGTGTGGTAGAACGGCATCGCTGTTTTTTTTATCTCGCTCTCACTACAGGAAACTGCTTAGGCTTACTCTCAGTGCTCTCTTATTATGTCTAGAGATAATTTAAATGTATAAATGCGCACAAATTCAATTTTTTCTCAAATTTCGGAGGTATTTCATCCCTTTTGAAGGGACGAGTAATATGAAATAATGCAAGGGTTTGCCACGTAGATGCGAAAAGTTGTTTGGTTAGCGTTATTACTTTGTAAAACTTCGTACCAATACGGTTTCAATCACTTTGTGAACAGAGTATAGCCAAAGACAATATAAACACTAAGATGAGTAACGCCCATACATTTGAATGCGATGCAAAATTTCTAGCCTGGCTTCTCATCTGGCTTTTCACCCTTCCCACGAAATGCCAGCCGATTGGCTCTTCGCTCTCCAAAAGCCAGACAATCGAATGCCGAAGTCGCGGCTTGCTGATGCGGACACGAGCAACGAGGTTAGCCGTCAGCCTGCATCGATGGTGCTCTGCGTCGATTCGTTCGGCCCTCATAGAGCCGAAGCTGAGAACACATTCTATTTTAGCTTTTTCGCTCTTTTAGCTGTGAGAGCGCAATAATACAGATTTCGTTTTCGTTCTTAATTTAAAAACAAAAATCAAGCTGTTGTATGGCGTTACTCATGTTAGTGTTTATATTGTCTTTGGTATAGCCACTCTTAATTAATAATTTACCTGTGATCTCTAAAGTAATTGCCAAGTTGATTTTCGGCTCTGTATTTACTTGACACTCATAGATGCCACTGTCTCGGGTTTGCGCGTAATCAATCTTCAAGTCCCAGTCGTCGCTGCTTGGCGGATGTAAAACGGAGAACCTTTGATCCCCGGTGTATGTATAGATGTTTGTGGTCAGAATATGAAGATCTCGCTTGCGCATCCACGAAACCTGCACATGGGTTAGAAAATTAAAAAAGAATAAAACAAATGTTGAATGCATAAAATATGCCTCAATAGAGCGGATCGAGCAATAGTACCTATTCTCCCCACATTTGTGCTAATTTTTACCAATGATGGACTGTTATATCTCATTGGTTCATTGGGTATTGAGTAAAGAATTCACACAGAGATGATTCTTCACTTTGCTCCACATTTATATTTCAGTTTTCAAGTCTCTAGCTATTGCAGTTTCTGAGAATAACGTGTCTATACGGACGGACATGCCTAAATTAACCCAGCTCGTCGTCGTGATCAAGAATATATATATATAAAATATGTATATGCGTACAGTTCGATTTCCTTTATTCTTAACTCGGCATCTTAAAATTGCTGTTTCATCAACAACAGCTGAGACATTTCTGGGGCTTATATCGTCAAAGTAAGGTCGATCCAATGTGGCCAAGTCTGGAAACATTATAAAAATAGTAACTGATGAAGGCCCATTAGATCGGTAAATTAAATATTATCCTTACCATTGATTATTAAAAACGATGATGCGCTTATCTGCTGAATACTACTATTTAAATGCAAGATAAAAAAAATGATCGGCTTGAACTTATTTAAATTATCCGAGCACTGTTTTTTGCCATATGAAGCCACCATTTTCGTTCACCTTGGCTACTTCTCAGAAATGCCTCGATGCTATTTTGTTGTATTTCGAACCTTAAAAAAAATAAATCAAAACATTTATTATTATTATTTTTCTCTTTTTTATCAGAATTTTCATTTTTAGCCCAACTAGGAGATGTCCTGAACCATTTCCAGCCAACACCACATAAAATACACATATCTTATTAAAGCATAAAGGGAATTAAAAAACAAGAATTATGAAAATCAATTAATGCATTAATTCACCTGCTGAAATGGAACTCGGGATCACGACCCAACCAATCGAACCATCGCCCCACATCTGTTTATTACTCTATGCCCCACACCTACGATTTGACAGTGGGACCATCGAGCAGACCAGCTCATTCTGCTATCTGGGCGTCCACCTGGACTCATCCCACATCACGGCAATCAGAGGAAAAGGCGCTGCTCAAAGAAACGATGCTGACACCCATCTGGTCCGACTCCGTCCAAGTCCAGCCTTATCGAGTAAGAGCAGACGACGCTCTCTCGAAGCCTTTTCCTAATCCCCTTCTCTGCAACTATCCCGCCATTGTAAATTCCCCTAATGTATATATATACCATCTCAGCTAACAAGCATTGTAACTATGCCTTCTATCACAGTCTTTCGCTGGGTAGAGATCAGAAGGCAATGATAGACTCCAGCTGTTGATACTGATCAAGAATATATATACTTTATGGGATCGGAGATGTCTTGTCCATATATGCGTTAAACAATTAACGACGAAATTATAATACCCTCTGCAAGGGTACAATAAAAAAGAGTTTGAATTGCTCCTGAATAAAACCAAATGTTTTCTTTAAAGATGCTGTGTTTCTTAGCCAAGCTGTAGTTTATCTTATTGAGTTATAGAACATTCGAAGAAATAATATATACTTGACGGGTGTATACGATGCGAGCAGTGAGAAACTTGGGATATGTTCAAATATATCGGAGTATGAATTTCGATAACGATTTGTATCGATTGCATGTAAACAAAAGAACTAGCCCGACCGGCGTGGGCATTAGGAAGTCCTACTACATTCCAAATTTCTCTAGCTCTTGTGGTTTGCGAGATTGATGTGTTCATACAAACAGATGGACAGTCAAAGATACGTATGTATATGGTATAACTAGATCGACTCGACTATCAATATATAAGTAAATATACACACACTTAATGGGATTGGATCATTTACAGTTTTCAGCTACATAAAACTGTGTCTAAGTCACAATATGGGCTAATATTTTAGTTTCACACTAAATAACTTCCAACTCAACTTGATTTGATTGTTATTTCTAACCCTCGAGCATATATTAGAAGATCCATATGATGGACGACGGGTAACTGTAACTGGTGACTTCTTCCCTTCCCCCTTCCCCCTCACAGCTTATAGCATGTGTGTATGCATGAAGAAGCAAGTGCAATTGATGTGATGGCGTTGATGGCGATACAGCGTATATCGTAGTCGGATAATCGATTTGCATGGACTTAGCTAGCATAACTAATAATTCAATGCAATCGCAATATTCTTAGAAATAGCAATCTTATATGTATGTTACAGTCAGGCGTTTGCATTAATCCATTTTTATCCATTTTTGTATATGCATATGCATGTACCATAGATTTATTCATTAAACATAAACAAAACAAACGACGATTCACACGGGTATTTATAGTTTATTTGCAATTTATTATTTACGCGCCAAATGATGTATTCTTTTCATTGTCATTATCTTCAATATACTTACTTTCAAGAGGCTTGAAACCTTATCCATCTCTTTTATAAGCCATAATAAAATTTCTTTAAAGTATTCACGAACAAAAGTCTACATATCTTCAGAGTTGCAACGAGCACGTACTACCATAATAATTGAATTTTAACATTTATAACTGTTTTCTTTTTTTTTTAATATGCAAGCTGAAATTTAGTTTTTGTTGAAAAATTTGTTCAATATATTTAATCCTGCGATTTGTATTCACAATTCCCTTTTGCACGTACTGCGCAGCTCAACTTTGTTCAACCACCGAGGCATCGGGTCATATTCATTTTGGCTCTCTTTACAAAAGAGAGAGCTTTTACGAGGGTTGTCATTTATATTTTACACTATGGCAACTCTAAGTGTTACCAGGTGCGATTCGACCTTTCCACTGCGATTCTTGTAATACCCTGCAACATTTAAAAATAGCTAAAACAATTATACTATGGTTTCGAGCATCCGACCCTTTAAAGTACATACATATGTATATACATATGTATGTGCGTTGGGTTACTGAGGTATACCCAAATCACACTGTACACAACAAACAGCACAAGAATCCCTAGACAACGTATACGCTTAGAGATGAACAACGAATATGATGACAACGAGCAAAGAGGACGGCGAATTCGCAGACGGCGAGTTATCCAAAAACGACGATCAACGAAGACAGTACAAAGCCACGAGGGCGAAGTGCTGTACCACGGGCGGAAGACGATTGCTCGTTAAGATACGAAGGCTAAGAACGAACGACTCGTAACTTCCAATCGAATGCTAACAATCATAAGCAATTTCAGTTGTTAATTAAATAATACACTATTTGTAATAAACTATTAATACAAAACCCCACATATATACATACATACATATGTACATATGTATATTCTTAACCAGGACAACAAGCTAAATCGATCAGGCCATGTCCTCCTGCACACCCGTCTGCATGTCTCTTCAAATTTGGAGTATTTGAAATATTGAAATATTCTCCTAGCTAGGTAGACAAACTTGTTGATAAAATATTGCACCATAAACACCGATGCGTTTCAAGAATCCATTACCCATAATGTGGAGCCAATGGAGTAATAAATATGTTTATGTATGTATTTACATATTTATGTATTTATTACTCAGTGATGTGGAGCAAAGTTGAAAGGCACAGCCGCAGTGTAAGCTGCACAGCAAGCGGCATGCGTACGTACATATGTATGTTTTTATGTATGTATGTATGTATGGAAGAAATCTAGAGTTCGTAAGGGTGCATTGAGTAATAAATATACAGAGGAGGCTTTTGGATCAAAAGCTCTTTTTCAAAATACTTGAAGCAAGATACCGAGGTTGCAAACACTAATTGCAAAATTTCCCAAAAAATCAAAGACAACTTCAGAACATTTTCTATTAGACCCAACAACAACCATAATTAAAACAAACGACGCGACAATGGAAAAAGCACACCACAAATTATGTCCTTGCTATCCCTTTTTGTTGTGGGCTTCAGCCAATGATCTTAGCTACTGCACTCTTCTAACTCATTGTTGTCGTTTCTAAGCACTGTTATGCATAGTCATGTCTTCTTCATCTCCACTCGCTTTCAACTTGCAAGCAGCCAGACAGATTTGTATGCCCTTTCTCAAAATAGAGTATTTGAACTATTGATCAGTGCTAAAAACCAAATACCACTAACCTTCTTGTATTAAATTGTTGATCCAATATCCGAGAAAAATGTAATTTCGTATTTAGTGTGCAACCATAGTACAACCAATGATAATTATTTTCTTGACAAATTATAAACCATTTCTATAAATAAGGGTATCAATGCCTCGACGCGCCAAATAGTTATTGGTATGTGTGTCTCATCTCACACATTTGGGTAAAAAAACTGCATGTATGTGTCTGCCAAGCCAAGGAAAGTACATACATTTATGAATTTACTAGCGGGTATAACCCGGCCTTGCCCGTGTCACGTATGTTATAAAATCAAAAAAGCTTTGAAAATGATTTTGAAACTGATCGGACGGGAATCAAACAACTTTTATGCAAATCGGAAAACTCTTAAAATTCACCAAAAAAATCTTAAAAATGCATTTCTCACCGAAGGAGTTTAGATTTTGCGAGAAATGTGAAACACGTCTCTAATGATTTTTCTTATAGATCTTTGGAAATAAATTTGAACACAAAACGTCATCCACCAAATCTTCGATTTTTCGAAAAGTGTGAAACACCCCTCAAATGAATTTAAACATAGATCTTTAAATATGAATTTGGGGCCGATTGGATGGTGTAAACAAAAAACTTTCATACAACCTTTTTCCGCCAATTTACCACTGTTGCGGGTGGAATTTTCCAAATCGCTGAAATACGTACTTATTAAGTTCTTTTGAAGAGCTTTAAAAATAAGTTTGAAGCAAATCGGACACAACTTAAAACGCCCCCCAAAAAATCTTTAAATCGCATTCCCCCCGAAGAAGTTTGAATTCTGCGAAAAGTGAGAACACGTCTCAAATGAATTTTCATATAGATCACTGGAAATGAATTTGAGTGCGAAACGTCACCCACCAAATCTTTGACCTCCATTTCCACCAAGGAGGAATGGATTTTTCAAAAAGTGTGAAACACCCCTCAAATGAATTTAAATATAGATCTTTAAATATGAATTTGGGGCTGATTGGATGGTAAACAAAAAACTTTCATACAACCTTTTTCCGCCAATTTACCACTGTTGCGGGTGGAATTTTCCAAATCGCTAAAATACGTACTTATTAAGTTCTTATGAAGAGCTTTGAAAATAAGTTTGAAGCAAATAGGACACAATTTAAAACTTCGCACAAAAAAAATTTTAAATCGCATTCCCCCCGAAGAAGTTTGAATTCTGCGAAAAGTGAGAAACACGTCTCAAATGAATTTTCATATAGATCACTGGAAATGAATTTGAGCGTGAAACGTCACCCACCAAATCTTTGACCTCCATTTCCACCAAGGAGGAACGGATTTTTCGAAAAGTGTGAAACACCCCTCAAATGAATTTGAACAAAGATCTTTGAAAATAAGTTTGGGGCCGATCGGATGGTAAACAAAAAAGTTACATACAAACGTTTTTCGCGATTTTTCCACACTTGCGAGTGGAATTTCCTGAAACCCCGTCTTAACGTGCACCTACATAACATAAGGTAACTACAGTGAAAATTTCAGCTTCCTAGCTCTTACGGTTTGGGCTGTGCGTTGATCACCAATCAGTCAGTCAGTCAGTCAGTCAGGACAAACAGTTTTATATATAGAGATAACTGTTTATTTATTTATCTGTTTATTACTCAATGTCAAATATCGGAGGCATTTCTTCCCTTTTTAAGGGACGAAAATATAAAATAATGAAAGTTTGCCACGTCGATGCGAAATTCTTGCAATTTAGCTCGTTATCGTCATTTAAAATATTTTTTTGACTTGCCATGCACGCAAACTTGCACAATTTTGTGTATGGATGGAAGCATTTATGCGTTTGTGTGCCTGGTTGTTGGCTGCCTGCCTGTGATTTTTGAATTTCGAGCTCTACAAACAACCACACACACAATCGTGTGTGAATGAACAGATCATGGGCGCATTCGTTAACTCTAGTTGTCCAGTCTAGGTACATATGTACATATGTACATGTTCTATGGTTATTGGTTCCAGCTTTTGGGTATAAACGTACGCAGAAAGTTTTCAGCTATATGCACTTTTTGTATTATCTACAGTGACTCGAAAATGTTATCTTGAAATCCCCGAACATTGACGTGTGGCACCCGAATATAAAGATGCACATACATACATATGTATGTATGTATATCCGTTGTGTTGTCACCATTGTTCCACCCTCGGCCCACTGCAAATGGGTACTCTAGGATACATATATGTATGTACATATATATCGGTCTTGATTAGCACCATTTTTAACTATTTCCTTCTACTTAGACATGCTTTTGTTTCTTAAAGTCGACTTTGCCCGTACATCGGCCGAATACCCTATCCAAGATGATAAAATACAAATGATATGAAAAATGACTAAATCACAAAATTGTTCATAAATGTATATTATTATTTTATAGAAGCAAATAAACAAACGCAATCAATAAACATTCATATATGTATATCGTATATATTCAATCATATGCATACATATGTATATGTATATGTATATGTATATGTATATGTATATGTATATGTATATGTATATGTATATGTATATGTATATGTATATGAATATGTATATGTATATGTATATGTATATGTATATGTATATGCATATGTATATGTATATGTATATGTATATGTATATGTATATGTATATGTATATGTATATGTATATGTATATGTATATGTATATGTGTATGTGTATGTGTATGTGTATGTGTATGTGTATGTGTATGTGTATGTGTATATGTATATGTATGTGTATGTGTATGTGTATGTGTATGTGTATATGTATATGAAAATATGTCTATGTATATGAGTATGTGTATGTGTGTGTATTTTTATATAGATATATGTATACACATATGTATATGTATGTATGCGTTGAATAGAAGATTAGCATGTCGTAAATCGTAATCGGATTACAAATTATGAACTATAATATATGGTATTATATCTGATCAATTTCAGAAGTCTGAGTAAGGCAGACCTTCTGTCGCTACTGGGACCCTTGAACAGAGGACATTTGAGTTTCGTTGAGTATTCGAGGCTTGGCTCCAGCCACGAGCGCTGTTGTTAAAGCATTGGCCAGGGCCAGGGGCACGCAATTGATGAGATTCCGGACTATATGCATTCTGTCCATAAGCGCTTAATTGTGGCAGAGTTGAATTTGATGGGGTCGATGCAAAAGGTGATCGTTGGATATTATCAAAACCTGCACGATTGCCGATACCTCCAGATGAGAACGGAGTGGGGGATGCATTCCGCACATTTGTATATGCTGGCTGTTTGTTTACATTAAGATATCGCTGATTCGATGCACCCGCATTTCTTTGGTCGGATTCTTGAAATTTGGACAACTTGTCAAATGACAACGGCGAGGGACTAAAGTTGACCTGTGGTCCTGCCTGGACGGAGCCTGGGGGCACCTTTTGGTAGCTCGCCGGAGCATAGAGTTGTTGCTTGGGCGGCACTGATGAATATAATCCGGATGTGGGATTCGAAATAGGAAAGCCACTTGGTGTTTCACCAGCATGAGATGTGTGATATCCTTGGGAAAAGTCGCCTTTTGTTGGGCCTCCAAAGTTAGATGTTTGTTGCCGATGATCCCCTAGCTGTACTGGCGGAGGTGCGTAACTTGCCAGTGAGATTTCCTTAGGCACATATAAACCTACAGGAAAGTAAATCAATTAAATCAAATAATATATTAGAACTTATTGTACAATATGTTTGTAGGAAAAATACTATCACATCCAAATATTCATACAAATATACATACACACGTTCACATATTCACAAACATACAGGTATATCCAAATAACACTATGCAACAAATCTAGCCTTTGTTATCTATAGCTGTAGCTTTATATTATCGATCTGTATCAATATCCGAGTCGATCTAGCCATGTCTGTCTGCCTGTCCTTATGTCTGTCTGTATGTATGAGCGCGCCGACCTCAGAACCTCCTCCCCGTTTCCAAAAAATCGATATCAAAATGCTGTTTTTTGAGCAAATCTCTAAAGTTGTAGTCACCAAGTAGTATAAACAGTTCAAGTATCTTTCGTTTTTTAGTTTACCGCTTTAAACAAAAATCGAGAAGGAAGGGCTATCTTCGGCACGCCGAAGATTTAATACCTTGCAGACCCAACCTTTTCATAATGCTCATTGTGATTTGCCCGTATCTTAGAAGCACAGCGAAAATAGTTAATGTCGAGTATGGTTAAGATATCGTGAAAAACAAAAAAGTTTTCCATACAACTTAATATTCGACCGATCGTTCCTATGGTTCCTATATGATATAGTGGTCCGATCTTAATAGGATTTTGCATATATATGAAGAGCATAGTAAATCAAATAAATACCGAGTTTGGTCAAGATATCTTGAAAAACAAAAAAGTTTTCCATACAACTTAATTTTCGACCGATCGTTCCTATTTCAGCTATATGATTTAGTGGTCCAATCCAGCTGGCTCCGACATATGTACTGCGTGCAACAAAAAGAAGCACTTCTACAAAGTTTCATAAAGATAGCTTTAAAACTGAGACTAGTTCGCATAGAAACAAACAGATGGACATGGCTATATCGACTCGAATGTTGATACTGATCAAGAATTTATATACTTTTAACCATTGAAAAACTAGCTATTTCTTCGTTTGGGGACCACAGTCTATCAAATAAGGAGGTTTGCTATAGGATCAAGAGATTAGAGACTGGTCGAATATTTAGAAACAGGTCGCACTCGTGTTCAACAAATATATATACCTTATATTGTTAAACATATTGTGACAAAATTGTAATACAATATACAGATATTTATGTGAGCACATATATTGGAGGATATGAACAGAACAGAAAGTTGGAGTGGATGCAATCATGCCTTTTGTTGTAGGTCCATCATCAAAATTTCTTTCACTTTGTGATTTTGAATTATCGTCAATCGAACGCCTTTTTTCAGTTGTAAATTCGCATCGGTTTTGGTTTTTCTGAAGTCCTTCCTGTTCTCGCAAGGACTGTTGCTCAAATGAGAAAATTAGTTCACGCACATTAACTGGATCAGTTACTTCAGCGATACCCTCTCTTATATCTTCTTCTTTACATTCTGATAATTTCGCATTATCTGGAGCTACAATCTCAGAGTCCGTATTCCGTTGACCAGATGCCGCCTCAGGCATGCCATAATTGCTTTCTCGGTTAAGACGCAGCCTTTGCTGTTGCATAAAGCATTTCTGAAATTGTTCTAACTGAAGTAGCCTATGTTCGATTTCATCGTTAAAATAGTTGCTTGAATTATTAGTTAGATGTACTACGCTCTGATTAGCGCCATAGACCTTTGGATCTACGAGAACATGTTCATTTGAGTAATAATATTCACTCATATCATCAGTATTCTGTGCTTCACATTGTTGCCAATAATACTCTGAAATATTTAATTTGGCATTAACAAAACAAACGAAATCGCAATATATACGTTCACTGACTTTCTTTTAAATAAAAAAAAAAATAATAATAATTGGGGACTTCTTTAGGACTAAGAGAATCAAAATTCGACTTAGAATTACGCCTAAGGATGCAAGATTCTCAAATAAGAATCTATTTATGATATTTTGTTGTAATATTAAATTTAGCATTGACAATAAACTATAAATTAAAATAAAACGAATTGGGGATTTCCTTTTAAGGTACTTAGGACTAAGAAAATTAAAATTCGAATTAGAATTAGGCCTAATGATGCAAGATTCTTAGATAAAGAACTTATGATCTATTTATGCTATTTTGTTGTATTCTTATTAGATGAATAATTAATAATTAGTTTGAGCTCTCACCTCTTGGTAGTTCAACATTGCGACCTCCCCAGCCTTGGGCCACGCTCGGCTTGTATGCGAGTTCTCTTTGTGGATTGCACGGCTGTTGATTGGGTTGGCTTTGGCCGCGAGTCTGCGGCAGCTAAAAGCAAAAGATTGTGATTAAAATATATATATAGCATATAGCATACATATACCAATATTTCAAGTGAATGGAATAGAATGACTAACATTTTTATACGGATCCTGTACGTTGTTCGATGGAGCATAAAGAGAGGCAGGCTGACGTGACGGCAGCTCTGCTATTGAACTGGGTGAATCGGTAAGGTCTTGATTGAAATGCACAGGTGACGCTTGAGAGGCAATCGGTGTTTGGTTCTGATATCTGGAGTCCTCCAAAAATGCTGCGCTCGCCGAGCCCGTCTGGAGAGCAGCTTCCCAGGGCGATTTAACCACCTGAACGCCGGGCTTTGAGTATTTCTCGATGAGCTGATCCTGGTGAAGATTCAATTGAACCCGATGCTTGCCAGCATCCGAATAGGCGGGCAAAATGCTCGGCGAGGTTGCCGGTCTTGCCTGATATTGTTGGTAATCTGGAATACCAGATGGACTGTGAATGCCGGCATTTGTCTCGTCGACTACCCAATTTTCAGCCTTTCTACGACGCTTTGCAAAGAGCTCAGCTCCTTGATGCCGATGTTTGTATATATGCATATACATATATATATTTTTATGATCGTTGTTGTTGTTTATAGAAGAGCAGCAAGCAGACCGAGGCGGCGATGGCGGGCAAAGCAATATTTGTTTGTGGTACATGTTATTAAATAAATTAAATTATTAATTATTTAATTATCAAGGAACCTTTCAAAACCAGCAATAAATCAACAAAATTAACAAGTTTGTAAACGCAGCGGAAAACAAAACAATTCTTTACCTAATTTATGATTATGTGAGCGTGTCTGTGTGTGTGTGTAATTGTGTTATTGTTGTACTTAAAAATAGTTATTGGTAAATGTAATGGTAAGTTGTTTACCTCGGCCTTTATGCAGTTGCAGCGCAGTTATTAGCTCAGCGCAATTGTCAGGTGATAAAAGGCCAGATTCAACATTTATTGATTCTTTCAGTGAGTTATAATCGCGCATTTGTCCTCGTGGATTCATGACTAGCTTTAATGGCATTTTTTCCAGCTTATTTAAATCGGGCTTCAAAATTTCTTCCGTATTTTCTTTACTTAACGAGCGTGTTTCAATAATATCATCTTCTTCTATTTCTACAATACGATATTTATAAGTTTAAGTAAACACATTTTTATACAAATTAATCAATTACTTTTTTTACTTTTCTTTTGGACACACAAGGAAAAGGATAATCATTTACTATACTTAAAGGGATTACTGATTCCTATTGACTTGATTACATAGAAGGGAATAATAATAGAAGACGATAACGTTAGTAAGGAATATAAAAGCTGATAACATACATAGATCCATAACGGAAACGTATGGAATCAATTAAAATACTTATTATGTCTGTGCAATTAGTAAAGGCTAATTTTAAAATGATTCATGCTTTAATATTTGTGTACTTTATGTACATATGCATATGGATATATAAATATGAGTACAGTATAAATACCCTATATCTTCCCTGCCTAGACAGTCGTCTATCTAGTCTAACTTCATTTGGTTTCTTTCTATTTAAATATACATTAGTCTTTACTCGCAGTAGCTTAAAGTAGCTTAAATTTGCTTGCAAATGTTTCCAACTTAAAATAGCCAAAGTTAGCTACAAAATGGCTGAATTGGCAAAACTGACCGCCCCAAATCGCACAAACCTATGCCTCAAACCAAAATGTTCAGATCCCTATACTATATACCTATATTAAATTATCCTAAACAAGAAGTCTTATTTCCCCAAAAATGCTTTTTATGTTCTGGATCTTCATTTTACTCCATGTTGCGATGGCATAATTAAAGCCACACTAACTAATCATAAATGTAAGTACACCAAATTCTGTTTTTACACGGTTTGAAAATACAATTTGTTTTATATTTTTTCCACGATTTTAAACCATTTAACATGATTTGAAATTGTTTGGGTTTCGATTTTTTATGTCAAATTAAATTATTCCGAAATATGTTCATATCACAAGTTTAGGTGAATTCCCTTTTTGTGTCAGAGCAATTTTTAATATTTTCTGAAGAAATTTTTGATAGGCGAATTTGTTTTTCCAACTTTACGTTAAGATAAAAGGTCAGCCAAAAAATCTTTTATATTCATTCAGTTATTTATATTTTATTCATTTTGAATTGAATAACCTATTCGTTTTGATAGCAACAAAGCTGTTTTACATAATTGTTTTCAGTTCCTGAACTTACTTACTTTCAAGCTTAGAGTGCATATCTTTTTATACCCTTGCCGAGGGTATTATAATTTTGTCGTTAAATGTGTAATGCATAGAAGGAGACATCTGCGACCCCATAAAGTATATATATTCTTGATCAGTATCAACATCCGAGTCGATATAGCCATGTCAATCTGTCTGTTTCTATGCGAGCTAGTTTCAGTTTTAAAACTTTGCAGAAGTACATATGTCGGAGCCAGCTGGATCGGACCATTATATCATAAAGCTGCCATAGAAACGATCGGTCGAAAAGTAGGTTCTTGTATAAACAACTTTTTGTTCATCTAGATATCTTGACCAACCTCGGCATTTATTAGTTTTACTATACTCCCTCCATTTATGCAAAATCTTATTTACATCGGACCACTATATCATATAGCTGCCATAGGAACGATCGGTCGAAAATTAAGTTGTATGGAAAACTTTTTTGTTTATCAAGATATCTTAACCATATTCGACATTAAGTATTTTCGCTGTGCTTATTAGATACGGGCCAATCACAATGAGCATTATGAAAAGGTTGGGTCTGCAAGGGTATTAAATCTTCGGCGTGCCGGAGATAGCCCTTCTTTCTCGTCTTTCTTTTAGTAACTGTGCTTGTCTAAATGCACATTACACATGTATGCGATTTAATAAAATAAACATGAATCCTTCTTCTTAAAATATCCTTTTGTTTTTCTGTTTTTCACTAATTTTTATAGGTTTAAGAGATAAGGAACCAATCACATATTATTGGATACGATCAATGTCATTTTGTACTCGGTTCTTTGTCCTGGAACCAATCTACCGTGTAAAAACCGAATTAGGTGTACAGGTAGCAATGTTTTTTTAGACAACGAACAGTTTCCATTTGATGACCTAAATGATGTATATAATTATGTACATACATCGTATTAGAAGTGTACACGGATAATAGCTAGTAAAATAAGAGGACCTTATGCATGCAACAAGAGATCGATCTATTACCTTGGCCAGAACCTTCGTGAACCCATTTAACTGATCGTTTTTTGCGATTCACATACATTGATTGACCCTTAGAGGTGTGATTGCTTATGTCACTCAATGAATGCGATATTCGGCGAGCTAGCTCAACCTGGTCCTCCACGGTTGGATGCAGTGATGGCGAATAAAATGCTGATGAGGCATATAGCTTTCCTATTTTGAACAAATTCAAGTTAAATTCAATTCAAAGTATTGTTAAAGTGGTGCTTAAAAGGCGATACGTAATCCACAATGATTCCTAATTAACATGAAAGCATTAAACCATTAAGCAAAAAGCGAATTTCAGATATACAGATATGTATACAGATATGAAATATATATACATACATATATCATGTAATATTTGATGAAGATGATTAAGGATATGTGTGGTTATACTTTTGCAGAAATGAAAAGAGCTTACGAATGTAGAAGAAGGCTTCTGGATTGGGTAACCGCCGTACATATTTAACATTATAATTTTATTTTATTTTACGTATCACCTTTTTTTCAATTCAATTGATTGAATATTTATTACTTACGGTTCTTTGGCAATATTTCGGGTGCATCTGTAGCTGGAGTGAATATTTTGCGCAAATCTACAGTCCTCGACAAGTTGGATGATTCCTATTTTAATTACATACACATTCATACACTTGTTTCTAAATTCAATCAAATTGTATATTCAATGAACTTATATTCGAAATTCATATACTATGTATGTATGCTGACATTCGTGTATATTGTGATTATATTATCCCATTCATATCGGCAGATATGTACATATATATGTACATAGGTGTGGGATGCCTTTTGCAACGATCTACGTACATTTTTCCTTTGCCACAGTTTTGTGCTCAGTTCGAGCAAAATTTGTTTCTTGCTTTCATCATAACGATCGCTAGGTCGAAAGCCGCGTTTCCTTTCAATTGTACAATTGTTACAATTAATTTGGCCATGTGACCTTTCCACTTCACAAGAATTCCATAAAGATTGGGATAGGCCCTTAATATTGGACGTTGAAAAACCTTTTTGCATTGTTAAACACAAATTGGACTCGTAAACGCCTTCGCCTTCGCCTTTCTCACAAATAAAATTTTCTTAACAGATTCATCCACACACACACACACACACACACACACCCCTATGTGTGTGTGTGTGTGTGTGGTTGAGTATATAGTTGTCTGTGAATGATGTGTGCATATATGAGAAGCTCTCTTAAATGCTAATTATAGAGATACTCGGAGAGTGGGTAACAGATCACCCAAATGAATTTGAATAGCACGAGTACCACATACAAATGCAAAGACAAATGCAAATACAGATACATATATACATATATATGGATACAAATATATATAAGATATATACTACATGCATATGAACGTGTAAACTGAGTAAACAACGAACAAAATATACATACTGTACATATTTGACATTAGAATGTGAAAGTGTACAATCATGCTCTTATAATTTGAGATGAACGCGTTTTTTACAGACAGAGGGCAGGACGGAAAGACGAGTATGGGCAGATCGGTAGATCTGCTCATCGATCTGATTCGGGGGGATATACCTGAGATGGCGTCTCTCTGTTACAACTTTTGTAATGCCCATTTAACACATTTTCTTTGCGTACAGGGTATATACAAAAAGGCAGCCCGACCGTGTTGCTTGATTTTCTTAATTAGGATGAGATTTTTTTGCTTTGTGCTCTTAGTGCTATTATGGCCTACCTTTTTGTCGTATGCATCTTCTTGGTGGCCATAAACCTTTGTGTAATCCTGTGCTACTTTTGGAGCTATCTCCTCCTTATACTCGTTGTGGCTCTGGAACTGCTTTAGTTGCTGTTGCTGTTGCTGTTGCTGATACTGTTGCGCCCTCAGCTCCTGTTCCTTCAATTGATTTTGCTGATACTGTTGCGACCTCAGCTCCTGTTCCTTCAATTGATTTTGCTGATACTGTTGCGCCTTCAACTCCTGTTCCTTCAATTGATTTTGGGCGAACAGCTTTTGTGCTAATAGTTGTTGCTGTTGAATCTGGTTGGCCAACTCCTTTTGTTTCTGGATAAGTTGCAGCTCCTGTTCCTTAAGTTGCGTTATTTTTTCCTGTGCTTTTATATTTATATCAATGTCCGATATAATGTTCTCTATTTGATTATTAATATCCTTCTGAAAGATAAGCGCAAATGGTAAAATTTTAAAAGCAAACAGTTTGCCCCTATCCAATGGGTATTGATTGGCCCACAGTTTTGAAAATCTAGATTGTAGTCGAATTACTATTCAAATTTGGCGAAAATAATATTTAACAAGTAAAAGGTTCTAGTCGGGTCCTCCCAACTAGGGGATACCCTGAACCCTCTTCTTCCAACAGGCGATAGGTATAAAATGAAATATACTATTCTAGAAGATACATGTCGATTTTTATCGATTACTTGGAAACGGGACAAGTTATCGATTATCGGAAACAAACTCGATCTGCGCATGGACTAGGAGGGTCTACAGCTAAAATTTCAAGTCTTTAGCTCTTATAGGTTCTGAGATCCTTGCGTTCATACACACGGACGGACGGACGGACGGACAGACAGACGGACATGGCTAAATCGACTCGGCTGTTGATGCTGATCAAGAATATATATACTTTATGGGGTCGGAGATGCTTCCTTCTGCCTGTTACATACATTTGCACAAATACATTATACCCTGTTTACCCATTTTCAATGGGTTCAGGGTATAAAAAATAGTTCTTACAATACGGAATATTTGTAAATGCAACACAAATATATCAAATATAGTGTAATTACTTACATTCGCGTTGTTTGCTTTCTCAACCGAGTCTTGGGTTTTTTTCACTTCTGCGGCGGCAACAACAACTTCTGGCTGGCTAACTATATGGGATTCGTCTTGGTCATCTTTATTCTAAAGAAATGAAGTTGTTAATAATAATAATAATGTTAATAATTGGAAACACATTTGAATGTTCGCTCATCCTCAGGTAGTTGGCCTAGTTACTTGTTAGAATTCAAAACAAATGAAACAAAATATATATTATCCATAAAATAACTTATTTAAAGTTATAGATTTTGTATATAAGTCTATAGTATATAGTATATAAGTTAACGAGCATTTGCGTTAAGTATTGGAATACGCGCTAATATTATAGGCAAATAAAAGGTTTTATACTTTTTCAATCTTGGCCTCGGTCTTGGTCTCTTCTCCCAACTCTTCCTCATCAGACGTACTGTCACCCTCTTCTGATTCTTCTTCTTCTGCTTTCCTCTCTGAAAGGCTAACATTTTGCTCAGCGGCATCCGTAGATATATCTGGAATACTCGATTGCGAGCCACTTTTGTTGGTATTATCAGCGGTTTCTGTAATCGGCTTCGATTCCGGTTCGGGCTTAACTGGCTGCGATTCTTTAGTTTCGGCTTTTATCTGGCCGTTTTCAACACTGGATACATTATCTGTAGTCTTTGTTTCCAATCCGTCTGCTTTTTTGGCTACAACAACTGTTGATGATGTCGTTTCAGTTTCCTTTTGAGTTTCAGTTCCCTCTCCGCTATCCTTTTTTGTAAGAACGACCGTAGTCGTTGTTTGGGTCTCTGTAAGGGGAGCTTCATCGCCATTATCCTTTTTGGTCGTAACGATTGTAGTTGTCGTTTTGATCTCTGTATGTGACTGACTCTCAGTGCTATCCTCTACACTAGCCACTTCCTCATTTTCATCGTTAGTTGTGCCAGTTGCTTCAGTTGGGACATTTTCTTTCGACTCCTTAACCAATTGCGAATTTTCGGTTTCACTTAATTTCGTCTTAATGTTAAAATGAAAAACAATGACACGTTATTGAAAGCATTTTTGAAGGCAAGCACTTATGCACTTATGCACTTATGTAAAGAAAGCAATTGGCAAGCATCGTTATCAAATTGGATTGCATTTAATTGAAAGCCAGAATCGTCTATAGATGGCAGCGCATATCCTTGGTGACATTCAAGAAATCAATAGTCTATAGATGGATGGATATACATATTAAACTGCGTGTCCCGACTGACTGTCTGACTGATTGGTAAACGCATAGCCTAAACCGCAAGAGGTTCGAATCTGAAGACGGCAGGTCGACGGTCCAAATTCAGCAATCAGTTTAAATTGTTAGATTTGTTTGGGTGAACGCGTGCGTGTTGGCGATATGACCGGCGGCTTTGTATTTGTGCGACGTTGCATATTATAACAAGTTAGAGGTTCTAGTCGGGAGCTCCCGACTAGGGGATACCCTGAACCCTCTTCTTCCAACAGGCGATAGGTAAATAAAAAAGATAATTGATATATAAATGTTATTCCAGAAGCTACATGTCAAGTTTGGTGATTCTAGCTCATATTATTTACCGAAATTTCCCAAAAAACAGGATTTCGATATCGATTACTTGGAAACGGGGCAAGTTATCGTTTATCGGAAACAAGCTCAATCTGCGCATGGACTAGGAGGACCTACAGCTAAAATTTCAAAATTTCTTATAGGTTCTGAGATCCTTGCGTTCATACATACGGACAGACGGACGGACGGGCAGACGGACAGACAGACGGACATGGCTAAATCGACTCGGCTATTGATGCTGATCAAGAATATATATACTTTATGGGATCGGAGATGCTTCCTTCTGCCTGTTACATACATTTGCACAAATACATTATACCCTTTTTACCCAATTTCAATGGGTTCAGGGTATAATAATAAGAAAATGTGCCTAACGTTGGGCGCCATTTTCCTATTATTATATTATGTAACGAATCATTTTCTTATTATTATAATACTCCTTATTAATTTAAGTGGGCGATGCCGGCAATTGTTTCCAGTCAATGGTAAACAAGTTTGAGAGCCTTTAACTAAGAGATACTCCGTACTAGTAGTAGGCAGTTTGGGCATACAAAAAATGCAAATTTGTATGTCTTCTACACCCATTGATATAACAATCGGAAAATAAACAAAGAAATTATTTAAGAATGAATTCGGTTAAGCACAAGTAAGAACGTTGCAGTCGGGTAGAACCTACTTTGCAATACTCTCTTGTGCTTTTAGGAAATACGGGGTCCGACCATTTGTGGCGATTAAATTTTAAGGGAGATCATCAGTAAAAGCTCTGCAAAAATTGGTCAAACTAGCTCTTACATTGGGTTAGATATAGACTTTTCCAATTTAGTGAAGTAGAAGTGGACAAAAAAAAAACCGAAATACATGTTTTAAGCGGGTTAACACAAGTAAATATTCGAAATTTGAAGTCTTCATTGGCATCGAAACCAATATACCCCTTTCTTCTCGCGGGCAGAGTGTAAATAAAATATGGCAAGTACTTTGTAAAATGAAGTTGATGAAGTTTGAGTTATATGAATTGTAAAGTAATTGATGTGAAATAAAAAATTTTAGCTTTTGCACTTACCACAGCTTCAGAATCCATTATAAAAGATATTCAAAAAGGTGTATCTAAAAAATGTTAAAAATAATTAGAATAATTAAAGTCTATATTAATAAACTTATAAATGCCGAGTTTGATCAAGATATTTTGATAAACAAAAAAGTTAGCTATATGGTATAGTCTGATCTAGAATATATGTATATACTTTATGAGGTCGGAGATGTCTCCTTCTATGCGTTAAACATTTCACGACAAAATTATAATACCCTCAACAAGGGTATAAAAATACACTAAAAGATTTATAGGTCTTTCATGTAATGCCCATGTTTGTTTTATTCGAATGATATTTTAGCAATTCATGTAACAAATACATAAATACATATATATATATATATATATATATATGTATGTATGGAGTGAGAAAAATCGATCAAATGAGCAATTGAACATATTTGATATACACATGCATATAGAATATATTAACAACAGAATATATGTATGTATAAAAACATTCTATATTATTCCCACCTGTTGACACCGTTTATTATTTTTACGGTTTTGTTTTATATGTATGTATGTATGTATATATGTGGCTCATATGTACACATGTATGTGCATGATCTTTCGGCATATGTGCGCATACATACATGTATCCGTTTAAGCAAGCACGCATACATATTTACATATTCTAAAATACATACATATATTAAATGCATACATATTACATAGAAGACATTTACATATATAGTACTTGGTTGGATCTAAATGCTCGTAAATATAAATTGACATTTATATAAACAGGTTGGTATTTACAACTGTAATCTTATATAACCATTTGTTTATCTGCATGCATATACATATTTTTTAAAAGACTTTATTCACGTTTTAATAGAAGATTACTTAATCAGCTTGCTTTAACTTACCACTTCGTAATTTTGTTTCAATTAATTATACACGTACAACGCTGCACAGTCTTACCTAAATTACGCGGTCTAAACTTGTGTAAGATAACAATAAAATTAAAATACCATCCGGACTAAAATAATAACCTCGAATGAACAAAATATATCTACATACATATGGATGGATGTATATGCCGTTCGATTCAAAGAATATGAGTGCACATTAAAGATAGCGTCCACACTGTCCACATTCTATTTTTTTTCTATATTGCCAAGTTCCCGCACATTCACAATATAGTATTATAACATATACATATGTAGTTATATATGTATATGTATATTCATACATGCATACACAGCCACATGCGTAAACATATAAACATACATATGTATAAATTTAAATACATGCTCGATATGTTTATTTAAATACAGTCCTATATTAAAAGCCGTGCACACACAATCGGCCATATGTGCCATACATACATACAAACATACATTCACACATACATTCATACATACTACATGTTCCTATTTCATACAGATTTCGCTCACAATGGCTTAAATATCCATTTTATTGGGCATAAATTTACAAAGACACAATTGTCTAGTTTAGACTATTTAATAAGCCAAAATGTATATACATACATATGTATATACATATGTTAGTCTCTTTTAATGCCTTCAATTCATAATAGAATGTCTTTTTTAAACATTATAACTTATTTTTATTCGAAATATAACTTAATTTATTTAAAATTGTAAGTGTAATATAATTGAAATAAAAATGTGTCTGTTCATGACATATTCGTTGCCCATAGCTTATTTAGTGCCTGATAGCGAGCGTTGATCCTGTTATTTTTCCGCCTTGCTATTGGAAAAAAAAATACACATAACTTCAAAACTGTTCGTTTAGTTTAAATAGAAACAGACAGATCGCAAGGCTTTATCGATTTGGTGGGTTGTAACAGGGTAATATATGTATATACTTTATGGGAACTAAAAATGTATATTACCAGCGCGTACTTATATATTCTTTAAAAAATATCCGTCAATTGTTGTTCAGAGTTGCAACAATTTTGCTTCAAATTTAATTTAACAGCTGATAGCCGATTCCAAACAGCTGTCTCTCAATAATAGCACTATCAGCATTAAGACCTATCGATTTTTTCTTCACAATCAGAACGGTGATGATGTGCGTCAGATTAGCGTCGATTTTTGGTACTTGGAAGGAAAATTAATCGCTCACTTTTAACTGCCATTATTTGGGTTTTTAAGCACAACACGAGATAAATTTAAATGCAAAATTGCAAAAAATTCAATTATATACTGTCTACATTCATTTGTTTTTGAATTGCAGCTTCTAACATGGATAAACCAAGGGGTATCTTAATTCAGGGATAATGGCCCCGAAAACCTTACAAACACGATCAAAGCCTATTATTTCACCTAACCAATCTTGAAAAAATTATAAAAATCTATCAGCACGTTTTTAAGATATTGTACAACAGTTCAACAACCTCGTTGCTAGCCCAACACAAAATAGCCGCAAAAAAATAGCCTTGCCTTTTAACCCTAATATCTTTTCTTAGGAAAGATAATGATTTAGGAAGACTAACGCATTAATTCTAAACAAATCGATCAGCAAGTTTTTTAGAAAAATAATAAAATGTAAACACACCTCATGTTTTTCATTCAAAAGGCTTATCGAACTACTAGCTTCAACGGGAACCGAACCGCCGCTTGGAATCAGTGTTGAATAATTGTATGCAGTATTGAGCGGGAACAAATTAATTCAAATTATTTGTGTTCATGGAAAAACTGAACGGACTCTTAATGTGTCTTATCTATATGTTGTTTGCTTAGTGCTATAACTAAACAGACAACATGAAACTTAAAGAAAATTTAAATTAATTAGTTTCGAAAAAGGATTTATATAGCAGATTTTTTTTGCTTCTATTTATAAATTTAATCTTGATATAAAGTATCCGTAAAACCAAAATACCTGGTGTATGTATATTTAAATCATTTTTCTGTAAATTTCATTGGCGCCAAACTTTTTGATCGAGCACCAGTGCAACGTTGTGACCAGTGTTGCAAATCATTGGAAACTCACCAACACACGCACAAATCATTTTACCGGTGCGCCTTTTACTTGGTTATCGAAAAAATGAACGTGGAGTATGGAGCTGAAAAGTCTGAAGCTGCCGTTGTTGGCACCACAATTGGCATTAGAGAGCGTATTGCATCTTTTACTGATCCTATGCAAACACAGTTTGGTACGCCACCCGATGAGAGGCGTGTGATGCGTACTCTGATGAACCTACGGAGGACAAAGAGGAGATAAATCAGTCTGCTGACATCAATGATAATACCTTTACGACTCACAGGGAATTGCCCATGAAACGACTTGGCGATCCGCCTGAGAGTACGATCCTAACACCGAAATGCAAGAGGTCTCTGGTTAGGAAACATTACCGAAAGACACCAGCACGTTAAAGCTCAACTCTAGCAGATGAAAATAGTGCAGATGAATACATTTGTGTTCTCAGTCTTCGATAACAAAGATCCGATCCCCTTTACCACCGAAACTTGCTATGAACGTGGTTCAGCGATGCTGGAGCAGAAGAAACAAGTAAGCCAACAAGTAAGCCAAATGAAACTAATTTAATTAAATTCCAAAATTCTTCAGCGTATCGCAACGGGCAAGAAGCAAAAGAATCGCTTGTGCACTGCTTCTTTGTCTACTTGCGTCCCCAGCCACGCCACTGCAGCTTCAGTCGCAACTATATCTGTGTGGGATAAAAAGATTATTAAAAGTCTGCGAGCCACCATGCAGGCTATCGAGCATGCCATACAAGTACATGCGCCTAATCCTGCTGGCCCGGAAACTATCCGTAAAGACTAAGCACCAGGCAAAGTCGGAGAAGTCCGAATCACCATAATCCCAAACGTATTAGTTAGGTTCACAGAATCCAATGTATATATTTTTCTTCAGTTATGTTTTTAAGTTTAAAATTTCTCTGAATTTGAATTATTTTTGCATTGAATATCTTGTTACAAATTATTAACAATTACCCGTAGTTTTTTTTCTTTAGTTATGTTTTTGTTTGAATTTGAATTAATGTTCATTGTAAATTTTGTTACAGATGTTATATTTATGCTTATGTTATGTTTTTGTATAAGCTAAAATAAAAAAAAAAACAAATGAATGTAGAGAGTAAATAATTAATATTTTTGTAATTCTGCCTTAAAATTTATTTACTTTTGTGCTTATAAACATAAATAAATTCATTTAAAAGTGAGTAGTTCCGTAGCCGATACCAAGTACCAAAAATCGATGCTAAGTCACCGCCGCTAATTTGACGCACGTCTTAAGTCGTTAAAATACGATATATCGATACACAATCAGCATCCCTAAACAAAACTGTGGCAATGTAAGAACAAACACAAAAAAAATGGGGGCAACGATGGTGAAAAATGGAAATTTATTGGATGCCTTGCCTTCACAGGTAGCCCATATAGCATATTTAATGTTTATATATAATCAATGACAATAATAATTGCAGGGAACTCTACACGTTGTAATGCTCGGCTTGGATTCTGCTGGCAAAACAACAGCACTATACAGACTTAAGTTCGATCAGTATTTAAACACAGTACCCACTATTGGATTTAATTGTGAGAAGGTACACTATTCAAAGAATTGCAAAAGAATGAAGTCATTAATTTGTTTTTGTAGGTTCAGGGAACTTTAGGAAAGGCGAGGGGTGTTCACTTTCTCGTTTGGGATGTGGGTGGACAAGAAAAGCTTCGGCCGCTCTGGCGAAGCTATACTCGGTACGTAAAACAGATGTTTTCTGACAACATACACATGTATACCTATCTATATATACATGCTAATATACCGCGAATACAATTCAATGTTTATTTTGTTTACATATGGTAGAGTGCTATAATTATGCTATAAAATGTATTTTATTGAAATTAATTCAATTAATATTGAACAAAAATTGTGTATTTTACTAGGTGCACAGATGGAATCCTATTTGTTGTGGATTCGGTCGATACGGATCGTATGGAAGAGGCAAAAATGGAGTTAATGCGAACAGCCAAATGTCCAGACAATCAGGTATTTTTATTGAAAACAAAGCGAACGACCAAAATGACTTAAGACCTGTTCTAAATTTGATTTCAGGGGGTCCCTGTGCTTATTTTGGCCAACAAACAAGATCTACCAAACGCATGTTGTCCCAAGGAACTGGAAAAGCTCTTAGGATTACATGAGCTACACAATCCAATTTCGAATATATTGAGCTCGACCTCAACTTCAACAGGAAACATTGTCGGCTTTTCCACTTCAAACCAAAGTTATTCTAATCAGGGCACAGCAACCCAGATGGCACCTGATGCGGACAAGTACAGTGAAAGACACGTATCGTCAATAAAGGTCACATTTCCACATCAACATTCGCAACATTCGCATTCCCAAGCGGAGTCCAAGAGTAAAGACTCCAGTTTGCCAAACGATGCTAAGAGCAACGCACCTCATACAACATCACCAACAAAGAACAGCTCCCAGTTTACAGTTAAGCACAATAACATCAACGCATCCACGCAAATAAAAGGCTGGTACATACAGCCCGCTTGTGCTATTACTGGCGAAGGACTACAAGAGGGATTGGATGCTTTATACGACATGATATTAAGGAGACGTAAAATTAGCAAGTCTTGTAAAAAGAATAAACGGTAATATTGTTTTTAATATAGAATTTTAGAAATTAAAGTCTGCTTAGCACAATTAACAAAATGTACACGCACTAAAACAATAAATATCGCATATGTACAAATATCCGAAATGTGGATTTTTCGCAATTATCCATAAAATTTTTTTAAAAACAAATAACAGCAAGATTAGTTTGAATGCGACGCAAAATTTCTACCCTGGCTTTTCCCACTTCAAACGACATGCCAGCCGACTGGCTCTTCGCTCTCTAAACGCCACACGAAAAAATGTCCAACAGCAGGCTTGGTGATGATACGAGTCCTCAGCAAAGCTGATCTGCGTCATTTTCTTTGCGAGTACATTGAGCAAATATATCTAACATGAAAGATACATTAGCTTAGAAGCAAAGGGTAAATTTTAATTGCAATTTTAAAAAAAAAAATTTTTTACTGAGTTTGTTCGGAAAATCGTTAACTTGTAAACTGACGCAAATATTTAAATAATTCGTAGGTGTAACTTTTAAAATAGATCTTTATATCTAAAATATATCAAAAAGTATGTGTCAAAATGTATTTGTTTCTTGACATTTTTGAACAATAAAATTTTTTTTACTATTATTTAAAAATTATTTACCTATTTTTGAATTGGGGAATAATTTTGAGTTTTATTAACTAATGACTAAAATAAAATCAACATAATTAATAATACAATTTATGATGATTATTAAAATATTTCCCTCGATATACAGTACACAAAAATTTAAATATTCAATTTGAATTGGTTACAGTTATTGTAAGAAAACTAAACTATAAATACATTACACCATAGTTAAGAGGAAAGGGGACCTGTAGATAGACAGACCTTGCTGTTTTGCCGTCGTCTCTAGTCCATGACAACAAAAGAAGGTTATTAAAACTATTTTATGGGTATCGAGTCTCCTGGCTAGTTTATTAAAAGACTACAGTCTTATTCGTTTCACAAGAAATGTGTTTTTATTTTTGAAAGTCGATACAAAAATAATAGATGTCTGTAAAGCCAGATACATATCCATGCACATACTTATATGCGCAACATTTACTTAATTTTAAAAGCCTTAACCGTTCTTTGTAGTTTTTTTTTGATGTTTTATTTTCGGAATCTGATTTAATTAAAATAGTTATAATGAACGCCCAAGTTTGGCATTGTTACATTAGTTGGCACGTAAGTGGACCCGGGAGCACATTTAATGCAATCACGTTTAAGTGCAGGTCTCTGCTTTGACTTCGATCCCTGGCAGTGCATCGCGAACCGCAGCTCCTCGGCCATTTCTGAGCACAAGGATTGATTGTCAGTGTGCAGATTTTTCTTTGAATTCCAACAAAATTCAAAAATGGCCACAACCACCGCAAGCGCAAGTCCACACAGCAGAACAACAAATACACCACCTGAAAAGATTTCATTAAGGCTAAGCCTTCCAGCTCAATTCAATCGTCAATCGTCTTCGTTTACTTACCAATATTTTCCACACCCAAGGCATTTGCTTTTGATTCTTTGCTTTTGTCATCTCTGTTGCACACATCGCCGGTATTTTTCCACCATTTGTCGTAGAGTATCTGAATAATACCTTTCTCTTGCAATTCTAATATCGCTAAAGAAATTTTGTCCCTCCAAGGAGATCCTTTAGGTGTTGCAATACCATAACCCTTCGAATCCAACAGGCCGCCAATCTGTGTCAAATTACAATCTCTCTGAACGGCATAGTCCAACATTGTCGATTCCATTAGAAAGGCATAGTTGCCTTCCATTACGCGCTTTATTCCATCCTCGTAGCTTTTAACAAACACAGATGCTTTTCGGTTTTCCATGTAGCGCCACATTTTCTGATATATCCCAATTTTTGAGTCCTGCAATATAAGATGCATATTCGAGGCACAAAATGAAAAATAAAATAAAAGCGAATGTTCTCTACTTGGAAGTACCCGACTAGGGTACTAACAACTTCTTCTATCAACACCAAATACAGAAAAATTCCACTTCTTTGATTGTCCAGGTATCCTCACAAGCCGGTTATTATTTACACCAAAGACAATATAAATACTAAGATGAGTAACGCCCATACATTTGAATGCGACGCAAAATTTCCAGCATGGCTTCTCATCTGGCTTATACCACTTCACGCCGACTGGCTCTTCGCTCTCCAAAAGCTAGACGAACGAACGCGGCTTGTTGTTGCTGACACGAGCAACGAAGTTAGTCGCCAGCCTGTCTTCGGCAAAGCTGGTCGGTTGATGGTGCTCTGCGTCAATTCGTTCGGCCCTCATAGAGCCGAAGCTGAGAGTACATTCTGTTTTTAGCGTTACTCATCTTAGTTTTTATATTGTCTTTGCTTTCACTGTGCTTCTTATCTTATCTTATCTATTCTATTTTTTTGTTATTGTATTTTTCCTTATATACTCACCCTAAAAAATGTCATTGTTGATCCGCCTTCCAAGGTGCCGTAAGAGATTTCAGTTTGATCTGCCAAATCCGCTGCACTCTCAATGGGGGTTATCATACGTTCGACTGTTAAAAAGGCAGCCAAATTGGCTGTGTATGATGAGATTATAATAAGACAAAAGAAAAACCAGCAACCGCCAACAATCCGAGTAGATGTTGCCTGAGAAATAAATAAAAATTAATATAAATATATGTCTAACATAAGAGCTATAAACATTTCAATATTGTGCTATCCAATTTCCCCTGGCCTTAGTTTTTGTTTTTTTTCTTCTTCTTATCAATAAACCTGACATTGAGCCAGCTTTAATATATCTCTATGTACATAAAACTGTTTGTCCTTACAGTC